CGTTTTCTGTGCTGGTCCGCGGTGTCTGTGGGCTGGGCTTGGCCCATGTGAGATGAAAGCTGGTGATCACAGTAAAAATCACAGTAGGAGACACGAATAATAATAACAGCACTGACCGTGCCTGGAGCCCTGATCCTGGGCCCGGCCTCCCCAAGCGCTGGGTCTGTCTTATTTTGGCGAAGACTCACACCCACGTGGGACCTGGGTCGTACTGACCTTCGACAGCCCCGATGGCCGCGAGAGGGCACGCCGTCGCTGTCGTATGCGCCGTGACGGACAAAGTGCCGCCCAAGTAAACTCTTACGTGTCTGTCATCAGTTGTGATGATTGACGCCATCACCCCGATTTCAGGGTGTTAAGGTGAACATGCGGGAGGGTTAGACCTGAAGAAACGCGGTATGAGCGTGTCTGGGCTTCAGTTTCAGGCCAGGTGGATCTGACACTAGCCACGGCCCCGGCGGCTGGGAAATCCCGGAACACCCCCCCCTCCCCGGGGATCTTGGGGTCATGCCCTCCCTTACCTGCCAAGTGCTTATGATAATGACGAGGGTCAGCGTCCCCCTCCTGAGGCCCGCCCGCCCCAGCAAACCCGCCGAATGGGAAAGGGATTCGTGGTCTGCAGCAGGTTGCACAGAAGGGGGAGCGCGCTGTTATTAGCCCCACATTCTAACCAAGGGGCCTTCCCAGCATGAAACCCATGATGCTCTCCTTAGTGTGTGTGTGTGTGCGGGGGGGGGTGGGGGGGTGGGGGTGGGAAAGATGGTTTCCTTAGCCACATGCCCCCTGGGACCCTGCCCCGGTCCCAGGTCACTGTCTGTCGTGGCGCACAGTAGGTGCTCTGTCACATGTGCGAGTGAATGCGTGATGCTCCCCGACAGGTTCCCGGAAGCTGCTCAATCAGTCCACGTCTGACCTTCTTACCAGCGCACAGCCGGTCACCATAGGTGAGTGCCTCAGACTCGGGGACATAAGTGCACGTGTGTGTGTGTGTACATGTGTGTGTATGTATGTACACATGTGTGTGTCTGCATGGGTGGGGCCTGATCGAGGCTTGTCCCCACCTCCAGACACTGGACTTGCCTCCCCCAGGCTCTCGGGGTGCCTTGGGGTCCTCCCACCCCCGCCCTGACAGCTCCACAGCTCCCTGAATCCTGCTGCTTTGGGGCAGGAGTCCACTCCCCGCTCCCCTGCAGCTCTGCTCGGGCAGGAGGCAGCGCTGGAGAGCCGAGCGGGTCTGACACGGGCCTGGCGGGGGGCGAGGTGATCGGCCAGCGTGTTTATCGTGTTCCGGGCACTGGCCCAGCCTTTCGTCCCGCAGCCGCTGCCCGGAGGGGTCTCGTCCGAACCCTTACGCGGAGGGAGGAGGCCAGGCTCAGGGGGTGAGAGGGCAGCAGCCAGTGGGGCTGGATTTGCATCCAAGTTCTGAACCCAGACCCACGCTCGGCCTGCCGCCAGCGGCGTGTAGCGTGGCCGGCGTAGGGCAGACTCCGAGGCGGAACCCCAGCGGTGCCTCGCGCAGCCGTGTGACGGCGCAGGTCTCACGCTCTCCGAGCGCAGGCCCTTGGCTGGGAAGTGGGGTGGGTAAGCGTGGCACCCGACCCCCCAGTGTTGCTGGGAGCCCCGTGGATGAATTTGTATGAAGCGCGTAGAATAGAGTGGGGAGCGGGCCCGTCAGCACTGTCTGGGCGTCGGCTGCTCTGTGATGGCTGAGTCCAGCCTGGAGCCCGCACGCGCACTGCAGGGTGGCTCACTTCCCTTCTCTGGGAGGCCAGCCTTCCTCTCCCCACGGAGAACCAGGTGCCCCTGGCAGGGCCTCGGGCCCCCAGTCCCCACCGTCCCTCCAGCAGAGCGGGCCCCTCACGGTGTTGGCCTGAGTGGACTGTGGATCACCCCGCTGGGCCGAGGCCTGGCGGCCTGGACACTGTGGTCACGCAGCGGGCGCTCGGTAGCAGCTGAGCAGAGAGCTCCGGGGGCGGGGGTGGGGGGGGAGGGGCCAGGAGAAAATGTCACCCAGTCGTGACTCATTCAGGACGCGTTTGCGGAGGCACCTCCAGGCCGAGGAGAAGACATGTTTTAAAGGGCAGAGGAGCCCTGGTCCCACGAAAAGAGGGTCCGCTGCAGGCAGGACGGGGAGGCGAGGAGAAGTCTGTGTCCGCTCCTCTCTCTCCCTGACTTGGGGCTCTTGCTTCCAGAACCGTCGGTGACTGTGCCAACGGAGGACTGGACGCCTCGGGAGCTGATGCTCCTCATCCTCTGCTTCGTCCTGGGAACCCTCCTCCTGGGCGCGCTCATCAGCATCTTGGTCCTCCTCTTGAGAGTGAAAGGGAAATACGGTGGGTGCAGCGCCCCAGGAGCTGCAGGGAAGGCCCAGGCCCGGGGTGCAGCCCTCTCGGGGGGAGGGGAGCTTGGGGGGGCCCCAGCAGAAGTAGCAGTGATTCAGCCCTGGACTTGGGAGAACCTCTTGATGGGAAGGATTTTCCCAGCATGCCCAGCAGAAGTGGACCAATGTGGCCCCATGGGAGGACCAGACCATGTGTGTGTGCCTTGTTGGGGGCGGGGGGGGGGGAGGGGACGGAGGGAGACTGACAGAGCCAGGCAGACGGGAAGGGAACCAGCGATGACTTGCAGGGTCTCTGCCCCCTCCCTCAGCCCTCCCTTCCGCGGTGACGCACCAACGCCGGCCCACCGCCACAGCCGGGGTCAATAGCTACCAGGAGGTCCCCAGCACCGTCCCCAAGGAGGAAGGTAGGATGTGACTCCCTGGGGTGGGAGGCTGGAGCGGACAGGAAGGGCTCCAAGCAGGGCCCCAGCCGGGAGGAGGCCTGGGCCAGCCTCCGTTGGGCCTTGACGGGGGAGCTTGCCGGGCCGTCATTCTAGGCCCCTAGGCTTCCGAGTTCGGGACCCCCGGGAATCTCTGCTCTGCTAATTGGCCAGTAGATTGTGATGTCATTTCCTCTCTTTTGAAAATATTTTATGTTTTTATTGATTTCAGAGAGGAAGGGAGAGAGAAACATCAATGATGAGAAAGAATCATTGGTTGGCTGCCTCCTGCATGCCCCCTATTGGGGATCAAGCCCACAACCCAGGCACGTGCCATTGACCAGAATTGAGCCCGGGACCCTTGAATCCACAGGCTGACGCTCTGTCCACTGAGCCACACCGGCCAGGGCTGTCATTTCCTCTTTCGGTGGCTTGTCCACTCAGCCTCCCTGCAGGGCCCCTGGGACATCGGAACTTGGGTCGTCACCATGCTTTATGCACACGGGCCGTACCTCTCGGAACTCGGGCCACAGAGCTGGAGTCTAAGCACACTGTGTTGTGACTATCGAGTCGCCTTTGTCTGCAAACCAGGCGGGGCCCAGCCGGGCATTAATAACATGCCCTGCAGCACCCATATGTGAGCATGAACACAGATCCTAGCAGGGCTGGCTCAGAGCGGCCACTCACTGAGCATGAGGTCGAGGGGCCGGGTGAGGGCCTCTGTGCCCCAGTTTCCTCAGCTGCACAATGGGGCACCGACGGACCCTATGAGGTCGAGGGGCCGGGTGAGGGCCCCTGTGCCTCAGTTTCCTCAGCTGCACAATGGGGCACCGGCGGACCCTACCTCCCAAAGTTACCTGAGTGTCATGTAGTCCCCGTGTTGGCAATGGGCGGAAACAGCTGGGAAAACCCAGGCCGTGGTCTTGTGCCAGCCTGGCGCTCTCCCTGCCTCTCTGCCTCCCGCCATCTACGCTGTCTGCGCCTCTCCCTGCGCCCTCCGCCCTCCGCCCTCCGCCCACCACTTGCCCGTGGCCCCCACTCTGTTCTCTCCCCAGCTCCCAAGCTGCCCATCCAGGTCCAGGCCCCGCCCCCCGCGGACTCGGACTCCAGCTCCGACTCAGACTATGAGCACTATGACTTCAGCGCCCAGCCTCCCGTGGCCCTGACCACCTTCTACAGTGAGTGCCGGGCCCGGGCCCAGGGCCCTCTAGCCTGAGCCAGGGAGAGGCCCGGCTGCCCGGGGGCCTCCAGTAGACCCCACCTGATGACCCCTGCACAGCCGGGGTGGAACCCCCCTTGTTACCCACCGGGTCCACTGTAGGTGGCCCCGCACTGACGTTTTCAAAGTGCTCTACGGCCCTGGAGGCCTCTCCATGCTCCAGGCATTTCCCGTCCCCGCCTCCTTCCCACCCACACTCGCCTCTGGCCACCAGGGCCTTCAGGCTGGTCCTACGCCACTCGCCCGCCCGAAGGTGGCTGTGTCTGTGCGACACGAGGGAGGCAGGGAGACACAGTCCAGTCGGCTTCCTGCACGCTCACACGCTCACACGCTCACACGCTCACACGCTCACACGCTCACACGCTCACACGCTCTTTCTGTGCCCCACTCTCCCCAGCAGCCTCCCCCACCCCAACCCCCACCCAACCCCCACCGTGAGCCCAGCTCCTCCTGCTCTCCGGCTCCTGCGGCTCTCGGCTCTGCCTTCCGGGGTAGCAGGGCCCGGGCAAAGCTGGGGGGCTGAGCGAGAGCAGAGACTCCCGCACCCACTGAGGAATCCCTGGGAGCTTGTGGCGAATCCCCGAGCCCCGCCCCGCACCTGCTCTATAAGTGAGGGTGACAGTTTGCTGTGTGTGACGGAGACCCGAGGGACAGTGTCCTCAGACATTGGCCCAGGGCCCAGGCTCCTTCCCTCTCGTTGCTCTGCAGTCCCTAAGGTGTTGCCCTTGTCCATGTGGCCCAGCATGGCTCACCTCCATGCCCACGTCCCCGCTAGCGGGAAAGGGGGTCGGAAGGTGGGACGTGCCCTCCCTTAAGGCCGGAGGTGCCTACGTGGCTCCCGCTCAGGGTTCGCCAGCGGAACTTAACCCACCAGCTGCAAGGGAGGCAGGGACACGGAGCCTCTGTCCGAGGCCACCGTGTGTCCAGATCAAGGCCCAGGGCCTCCCACGGCAGGAGGGGAAGTGGATATTGGGGACGCCAGGGCCTCCGGGATGCAAATGGCTCCATTTCTTCTGGTGCCTGCGCTGGTGTTGGGAGCGGAGAGCCTGAGCCCAGGCCTCTAAGCCGGGAGGCCACGAGTTCAGGGGTCCCAGGCTCGAAAGAGCCGGCAGCAGATTCAGACCTGCGTCCTCGAGCTCCTGTGGGCCTGCCTCCCCTGGGTTCTGGAGGAAGGAGCGGGGCCTGTGGCAGGTCCCAGACCCTCCAGCTTACGCTCTGGGCGCTCCTCGAGGGCCGTGTCTGCCGTCTCCTACCCAGATCTGCCCACCGGCGGGGAAGGCCCGGGCCTCGAGGTTCTCTGAACTAGCGGGAGGGGCACCTGGGGACAAGGCGAGGCAGCCTGTCCCCGCCCTCGTTTCCTGGACCAGGAAGTGAGCCCTGGACGGTCCCTCCTGCCCTGGGGTGGTCCTCCCGCCGGTCCAGCCTCAGGCCCCCCTCCAGGCTCAGGGGACAAGGAGATGGAGCCTCGGCCCCTCCTCACCGCCCTCTGCTTGCAGATTCCCAGCGATACCGGGTCACGGAGGAGCAGGCCCAGCAGAACCGGTTCCAGATGCCCCCCCTGGAGGAAGGTGGGTTGGCGGGGGCGGGGGGCAGGGGCGGGAGGGGGTGATGCAGCTCAGCTCCCCCCGCCCCGGGCAGCCCCAGCAGCCCCCTCAGCAGGCCCTTCCTGGTGTGAACATCTCCTCGTGGCGGTCAGTTCCTTGCCAAGTCTAAGCCAAAGCCTTCGTCCTTCCTCGCCGTCCTCCCCTCCTGGCGGGGACGTGAAGAGACGCGTGTCTCCCAGGTCCCCCTGCCAACCCTGGGCCCTGCGTTGCAGATCCCCCCAGCCTGGGCCCCCAGCAGCGCCCCCGGAGCAGCAGCGGGTCCAGCACATCATCCGGGGAGGGCTACTGCAACAGTCCCAGCAGCAGGCTCCCCCCGTGGGGCCCCCTCCCGGAGCAGCCCCCGCGCCTGGAGCTGGCTGGCTCCCAGGGAACCTTCTCAGGTAAGCCGGGCCCGGAGGGCTCGTGTGCCCAGCCTCCCGTCCTGCGGCCAACCTGGCGGAGAACCCATCAAGCTAGGAGCCCTGACCAGGCTGGGCGCAGGCTTCCGGTTCCAGCTCCGCAGACACGAGCTGTGTGACCTCGGACAAGTGTCCTCCCCTCTCTGGGCCTTCATCGCCTCACTCATCAAACTAGAGGCCTGACTCAGCGGAGTCCTGAGGCCTCCCAGCCCCGACCGGCCGTGTGCGGGCGGCTGCCTCCAGGGGAGGGTGACTAGCTCTGGGGTCTCCTGCAGGGCCCTCGGCTGACGACAGCTCCAGCACCTCCTCCGGGGAGTGGTACCAGAACTTCCAGCCGCCGCCGCTGCCCCCGCCCCCTCCCGAGGAGCTGTTTGGGTGTCCAGGTGCCAGGGGCAGGGGTGTGGGTCCTGGGAACGGGGACAGAGAGGGCTGGGGAGTGGGGCACATCTGGCTCCGTTGGGCCCACCAGCCCAAGGAGAAAAAACAAGAGGTAAAGGGAATAGAGAGAGAGAGAGAGAGAGGGAAATGGAGGTGGATGGGACAGAGAGATTGAAAGGGGCTTGGATGGGGAGTGAGCTCCCCGCTGGGGGAGGCATTCAAGCGGAAGCAGTGGTTGGCCCCAGGGAGCTGGGGTGGCCGAGGGGCTCCCAGCTTCCATGGTCCTCAGGGTCTGGGGCCGCGGAGGCAGGACAGCCCTGGACTAAGGTCAGGCTCTGCCCTCTGGGCGGGCATGCGAGCAAGGGAGATGCAGAGAACAGAGGGCCAGGTGGGATTCTTGTCCCCCTCACCCACAGGCCCACGGGGAGGGGGGCGTGGACCCGACCACTCAGCTCCGTCCCGTGGGGCAGTCGGGCACTGGCAGGGCCTCCCGCTGACCTGAGCCTCCGGCCTCGCAGGGTCCCCCAGCCCCCAGCCTGCTTCCACCGACAACGAGGACTACGATGACATCGGGGCAGCTTAGCCGGCCCGCGAGGCTCCGGGGGCTCTGCCTGCGCCCTGTCCCGCCCTGTCCTCCCGGACCTGACCGTGCTCCTGCCCCGGCGCTGAGGGCCCCCCTGAGAGAGGAGAGGAAGCCACCCTCGTCTCCGTCTCCGTCCACCAGACAGAACCTGCTGCACCGCCTCTGCCCGCCCCAGCCCGCAGGGTGCGGTGCCGCCCCCCGGAGGGCGAGCTCTCCGTCTTGGGGTGGACTGGACCGCCCGCCCCGCTCAGCAGCTGCACCGAGGGCTGAACTGGGTGACTCCTGGGACCCCGACCTCGGGTTCTGGTGCTTTGGTGCCGAGGCTCAGGCAGCCCAGAGCCTGAGTAACCAGGGGCAGACACGGGCCCATCGGTTCTGCCAGGAGGCCCTGTGCCGCGCCGTCCCTGCAGCGGATCCGCATCTGAGCCTCCCACGGCTCACAGTGGTCCCGGCACGGCCCAGCGCGGCTCCGTCCCCGAGGGCGAAGGCGCAAGGAGTCGGCCGGGAGGGGCCACGTGCCCGTCTGTCTGCTTGGGCAGGTGGGAGCCTCCCCGACCAGCCTGTGAACATGCAGCGCCAGACCCAGAGCCCTGAACACACACAGCCTCCACGGAGGCCGGGGCAGCCTGGGATTAAACTAACTGCTGAGTGAAAGCAGGCGTGGAGCGACCAGTCCTTGACCTCCTATAGAACCCAGGCTGTGCGTGTGTGTGTTGTGCGTGTGTGTTGTGCATGTGTGTTGTGCATGTGTGCGTGTGTGTGTTGTGCGTGTGTGTGTGCGTGTGTTGGTGGGTGCAGGTCTATCCATCGAATCGGGCACCTGGGAAACGTACTGTGGCCGGTGCCCTGACGGACGCTGGGGATGCAAGGACAAGGCCCAGGCCTGTCCCCAGAGGAGGTGGCGGCTCAGAGTTCAACAGCCACCAGGCTCCCTGGCCTGCCCAGCCCAGCCTGGCGCAGGGGACTGGGCTGTGGACTGAGTGGGTCCTGCCTGGAGCAGTGCGAGGGGGTTCATGCTCAGAGCTGCCTGGCGAAGAAGGTGATCCAGGCCTGGGCGGGGTGGGGGAGGGGCTGTGGCCATGGAGGGGCTGTGGACACGGAGGGGCTGTGGACACGGAGGGGCTGTGGACAGGGCTCAGAGGAACTCCCCGTTGGCATTTCAGCCGGCTGCTGTGGCCAATGCCCGCCCTCAGCCTTGAGGGTGAGGGGTGCAGGGAGGCTGGGGGGCTGGGGGGTTGAGGGGCTGGCGGCGGACCTGCTCTCAGGGCGGAGGGGCCTGTGTCTGTTCACCTGTCCCAGAGGTGGAGGCGCTGGCCCCCCCAGGGCAACCGTCACAGGATGTGGTTGCTGCTGTGATGGGCCCCTCCCCAGGCCGAGGGGGATTCCTGGGGGAGGAGCCAGGGCTGGCGGGCGGGACAGGCTCCAGGGCACTCTGTGGAAGCCTCTTTCTGGCAGGCGGCCTGGGTTCAAGTCCCGACTCCACCCTGTCCTGGCTGTGTGGTCTCAGGCAAGTCACCCAGCCTCTCTGAGCCTTTGCTGGGAAGTTTGTCTGTAAAGTGCACACACAGGAGCAGGCGCCACAGAGGTGACGGCGAGGGACGGAGGCTCGGCGATAAGCGCTCCCTTTCGTAGTGAACCAATTGGGAGGTCTCAGTAGAAGGAGAAAGGGGAGCCCGCCCGGCGTGGCTCAGGGGCTGAGCGTCGACCTGTGAACCAGGAGGTCCCGGTTCGATTCCGGGTCAGGGCACCTTCCCCGGGTGGCAGGCTCGATCCCCAGTGGGGGGCACGCAGGAGGCAGCGGATCACTGATTCTCTCTCATCATTGATGTCTCTCTCTCCCTCTCCCTTCCTCTCTGAAATCAATAAAAATATTTTTTTTTTAAAGGAGAGAGGGGAGGAGACAGCCGTTCATGCTGGAGGCACTGGGCACCTTTCCAATTGCCAGATCAGGACACTGAGGCCTGGCCGGGGAAGGCCTGCTCCACGGCCACTCAGAGAGTTAGCAGCCAAGTCAAAATTCAGCCCCCCCCCCCCCAGGAAGATGGTGACACCCTTTTCTCCCCGAGTTTTCCCACACCAGCACGAGAGAACTGGGGCTCCTGAGACGTGACTGCCTGCCCCTCCAGCCCCGGGCAGCCCGGAGGCCCTGGGCACACTGGCAGGGGGCATCCTGAGGGCTGGCGCCAGCACCTGCCAGAGCCGGCCCCCGGGTGGGGTGGGGGGCTGCTCACAGGGAGGCCCCCAATGTCTGTGCCTCCAGGGGACTCGGACCGTCCGCCTGAGGGAAGTCACAAGCAGAGCCGCCCTTTCAGGGAGCCAGGGGGCACACTGAGCTTCGGGGCTCTGGGAGGGGAATGGAGGTGCCGCTGAGCCCCGATGTCTGGCATTCACATGGGGCGGGGCGGCCGACTCACAGCTGTGCGAGCGCCGGGAGAGGATGGTGCGCGGGGAGTGAGGGCCCGGCTGGAGAGAGGCCGCCTGGAAGGCTTCCTGGGGGGTGATGCCCGAGTGGGGTTGCGAAGGATGAGTAGGAGTTCGCGATGGACAGAGAGAGGGAGGGGCAGGCCAAGGCCCGGGAATGGCCTATCAAAGACCCAATCAGAAATCTGGGGGTTCGCGAGGTCAAAGGGGACCAGCCTAAGGAGAGGCTGAGCACGGCAATTCTCAGAGGACCAGTCCTGAGGGGAGGAAACGGGCCCAGGGAGGTGAAGTGAGATGCCGGCGGGCACAGCCGCTGCACCCGCCCTTTCCGGGCACCACATTCCCAACACAGTGCTGTTTGCACCACCGCACGTTAGGGCGGGGGGACCAGGCCGGACATTCAGAGCCGTTCCCGGGGTCGGCGGGCGAGGGGTGGGCCTGGCTGCTTCCACGCGGCCTCCCCATGAAGACCCTTCCTTCGCTGCTCTGCCCGCCAGGGCAGCGCCGTTCCTGCTTCGTCCCCGCGGCCTGTGGTTGCGTCGGGGGAGCCCGCGCGAGGCCAGGGCTCGGCAGAACCACCGCTGTCCCTGGGCTGCACAGACGGGGCTCGGGCGACGTGGTGGCCAGTCCAGGAGCTCGGGCGCTCGGTCCCGCGCCCAGGCAAGGCGTCCCGGCTGGTTCCCGGCCTTTCCCACTGGACGCCCCCCTCGGAGGCACAGGTGCGGCCCCCACTCGGTTCCCACGCTTCCTTTTGCCCCCTTTGTGGCGTCCACTTCCGTCCCTTCCTGCGGCCCTCCCGACGGTTTGGGGATGGGCAGGTGGGTGAGCCCCTGTGGGTGAGCCGTGTGGACCTTTTCAGGGTGGCCCCAGGCCCCCCCCCCCCCGCCCGGCTTCGTGAATGTGGGGCGGAGGCTCCACACGAGGAGGAGCGGGGAGACCCATTCAAAGTGGCCTCAATGGAAAGTTCATCTCCCACCACATCCTTCAGCTGTTTACCAGTTTGACGGGCTCTGCATCCTGACATGAAAAGAGGCGCACCCCGCACCAGCATCATCGAGGAAGGACCGAAATAGCAACAGAGGAAGACAAAGGAGAGACAAAGGGAGGGAGGGGGAGAGAGAGAGAGAGAGAGAGAGAGAGAGAGAGAGAGAAATAAGCGAGGCCGCTCGTGCCTGGGCAGACGTTGGGCGAGGCAGCAGGCCCGGCCTGAACCCCTGGCGTGTGCTCACTCAGTCCTCCCACCCTCGGGGCAGTGAGGTGGCCGAATCTCTGTCGCCTTCTGTTTGGGTAAGAAACGTGAAACCCAGCCCTGGCCGGTGTGGCTCGGTGGATAGAGCGTCGGCCTGCGGACCGAAGGGCCCCGGGTTCGATTCGGGTCAAGGGCACGTGCCTCAGTTGCAGGCTCCTTCCGGGGCCCCAGCCCTGGTCAGGGAACATGCAGGAGGCAACCAGTTGATGTGTTTCTCTCACATCGATGTTTCTGTCTTTCCCTCTCTCTTCCATTCTCTCTAAAAATCAATGAACAAATATCCTCGGATGAGGATTTAAAAAAAGAAAAATGAAGCCCAGATAAGTCACAGACTAGGGACACTCAGCTAGGACCCTGGGAGCCAGACACACAGTAGGGCTGCACAGGGCAGGCAGGAAGGAGGAAAGGAAGGAGATAGAAGGGTAGCAGGCTCAGAGCCAGCAGGGGAGGGTGGGAGGCCTCCTTTCTTGGGGGAGGGTAGCCACGCTCCCCCGCCTTCCCCCTGTCCCCCCAGGACCCAGCCCCAACCTGGCTGAGCAGGTGCCCCTTCCTGGCTCCCGCCCCCCGGGCCCACGACCCCCCGCCCCCCAGTGCGGAAGGAGGAGAGGCAGCCAGGCCATCCTGCGCCTCCAGCTGCGGGGACCCCCTTAGCGTGGGGGCGGGGGGTGGCCATTCCGGGCGGAATAAAGTTGACTGACACCACACCTCCGGTTTTGTTTTTTCTGTGGACCATCTGTTCTCCCGCTTAACAGCTTTTCTCGCAATGGACTCATGTGTTTCAAAACTCACGTTTATTGTAAAGGAGACTTGAGCCATTTTACAAAATACCTTCAATGGAAGATTCAGGAGCGAAGGGACAGGCACATTTTTTATTTTTTAATTACAGTTTACAGTCACTATTATTGTGTATTAGCTTCAGATGTACAGGGACAACCTATTTTTAAATGCAGGGTGTCCCCCCGAAATGTATATGCCCCGTGACAGCTATAGCTCAATGTTGAAAATGAAATGTATTTTAACAAACACGGCCTTTGTAATTATTCAAGGGGTGTGAACACATCTTTGGGGGGACACCCTATAGTTCAGAAAAAGAATCTGGGTGTGTATGGGTGGGTAGGTAGGTAGGTAGGAGAGCGAGACAGAGGGAGGGAGGAAGGGGTACATTATTATCAACTAAATGTATCACAATTGATTATTGGTACATTATTATTGACTAGATGTATCACAATTGATTATTGGTACAATATTATTGACTAGATGTATCACAATTGATTATTGGTACATTATTAATGACTAGATGTATCACAATTGATTATTGGTAATTATTATTGACTAGGTGTATCACAATTGATTATTGGTACATTATTATTGACTAGGTGTATCACAATTGATTATTGGTACATTATTATTGACTAGATGTATCACAATTGATTATTGGCACATTATTATTGTCTGGGTGTATCACAATTGATCATTGGTACATTATTATTGACTAGATGTATCACAATTGATCATTGGTACATTATTATTGACGAGATGTATCACAATTGATCATTGGTACATTATTATTGACTAGATGTATCACAATCGATTATTGGTACATTATTATTGACTAGGTGTATCACAATCGATTATTGGTACATTATTATTGACTAGATGTATCACAATTGATCATTGGTACATTATTATTGACTTCGATTCCCGTCAAGGGCACGGACCTCCGTTGTAGGCTCCTCCCCAGCCCGGGCCCTGGTCGGGGCTCGTGCAGGAGGCAACCCATCGATGAGTTTCTCTCACATCGATGCTTCTCTCTGTCTCTCCCTCTCTCTTCCACTCTCCCTAAAAATCAATGGGAAAATATCCTCAGGTGAGGATTAGTTAATTAATAAACAAACAAAAAATATGCCAGGAAATAAAATAGAAAAGAAAA